CACACACACACACACACACACACACACACACACACTTACACACACCACACACCACACAGTCTGAGGAGCCTGGTGGTCTGCTGTGTCCCGGGGAGGTCACACAGGAAATGTCACGCTCCTCTTCACACTGAAAATGTCTCCTTTATCCTCCCCACTGAGAACGAAAGAAAAGGGAGGAGGATTGAAAGAGTGGATCGAATGAAAAAAAAACGGACCCAACTCCTCAATGAGGATTGCTTACTTGTGTAGGTGTGACTCGTTGAAACGCGCTTGAGTTGTCGTGGCAACCCACACCCAGCAAAGTAAAGGCTGAATATGGTCACAGGTTTGGTGGAATGTGACATTTGTGAGAGGGAAACACAAAGGGAAGAATTTTCCCTCCAAAACGAGAGCACAAAAAAAGAACAAGTGAGGTCAGTTTGAGAGAAAACAGGAGGAGGAATATCTGGTATTTAAAGCATTGCAAAACAAAGTTGTTTTTTTTCCTTGCAAGGAAGGCCAAGAAGACACCTGACGATCCATCACCATAAAAGAAAAATATCTTTTAACATATGGTAGTGAGTGCAACATTTTGGCCTGTTCTTAGCATATCATATAAATCACTCTTGTGTGTATCCAGTGTCCTTGTAGGGAGGTGGGTGATGCATGCAGCCTTTCTGTGGCTGAGGAAGTTTGAATGGAGTGCTGTCTGTCGGCGTCCGGGCCAACAGAGATGCCCCTATACTGTACTGTGTGTCTTTGCTGTTTGCTCTGTGTGTCGAGGAGAGGCATGTTGGGAGAAAGAGTCTGTCCTCTTCCCATCTCCCTTTCGCCTTTCTGTGATCTCCATCTCCCCAATGCTTTCTACTTCATTCCTGCAGAGCTGTACTCACACAGGAGGTCAAGGAGAGCAGGGATAGCAGGATTTAAAAGAAAAAATTCAGAGGAAGTGTGCCAGATTTGAATCACCCAATTGGGAAAAGCGGGCCATGATGCATGGAGTTAAGTTCAAAGATCTAAACACCAGGTGCAGAGAGAGGTTTATCAAAGAAGACAGGCTTTAAGAGTCAGACCCAGAGGCATCATTTTAAGGAATCCCCCACTCATGTTCACCACTTCCTCTAAAGCCTCCCTGCCACACTCTCACTTTAGCAAAAGCTGTCTCAGCCTCCCACTTCCTGATAACTCCCAAAGCAGGATAACACCCTCGTCTACACACACACATATATAAACACACACATGCCACCCTCTATGCAAGTTGTGGTTTCCCTGTAGGAAATCAGCAATCTGCTGCCATCACCCACCAACATTTACCCGCCCCCCCCCCCTCTCTCTCTGCTCCCTTACACCCCCCCCCCCCCCCCCCCCCCCCTTGTATTTCCTTACCACCCCTGTTTAGACAAAGCATCTTTCTCTCATGAGCATCATTAGAGAGAGAGAAGACAACTGTTGGTAGGCTAGTAGAAAGAGAGCACCACACAACAAGCCAAAGGAAAACATAAATAGCTAATTCATTTGTCTGTTGTCATAGCATCACATAGGTCCCTAGCTGTGTGTATATAGCTTGATAGACATGCTACTCTGTTGTGAAGAACTGAAGGCAGTTTGCACTATGATGGGAGCATTGGTCACCTCTGTTTGGCATCTTGACAGTAAAAGGTCTTAAAGTTCATGTCCTCATAGCTGACATTCAAAACACTGCATACAAAAATTGTATAATTCAGGGCAAATTCTTACCTGTTCATAAATAGACATGTTTTGATATGTAATTCCTTAAACAGGTTCCCAGAGAATCTGTCACAAACCTTAAAGCAAAGAGAAAATCACAAATGGAGGGGAAATCACCAAGGCGCTGAGGAAAAGAAAACTTTACACAGTGCTCCCAGCTTTTCAAAACCTCTCTCAGTCTCACACAAACACATAGGCACAAACACATACACCTAGAAACAAAGGTGCCATTTACTCAGGAAGGGTCAGCAGTTCTCTCCATCAGACAGGGGCTTGTTCTTGGTCAGAGGCTGCTGCCCAATCTCAGGCCACCCTCCCCTAGCTCCACCGGCCCCCCTCTGGCCCCCACCACCCCGGAGACAAGCTCCCCATTGTTCCTGCACTACTAATAAATGACAGTTCTCCTGTTCAGACAAACTTTAGAGTCCATTCTAAACACACACACACACACACACACAGACACAAACACACACACACACACACACACACAGACACAAACGCACAAAGACTGAGTGTAAATGGTGGTCTATATGTAAGAATACACAGCAGCTTATTTACAGTCTGATATTTCTCATGGAGCTCATTAAAGGTTATCTGACACTAATGATGGAAGGATATTTTCCTGCGATTTGGGGCTTGTGCCCCAGGGGTCTGATGAGGTAATGCCGAGGGCATATTATGCTAAAAAAACAGTGGTAATTAATAAATGTTTTCCTAATGTATTACATGTCCCTTCAGTGGTCAAAAATGGACGTGACATCAAGACATAGTTCAATCGGGGGTCACACTGCTCCGTCGGTGTTGTCACCTGTGTGCAATGTCATACAACCCCACACACACACTCACACACACATAAGCCAGATACTGAGCTCCATCAAGGCCATGACCCAAAGTGAGCCTTGAGTTTAGACATGATAAATCACCACTCAACTTAAGCTCATAAACACACCATTAACACGCTCGGCCACAGCAACTTGATCTGTTTACCTTAACCACTGTGCTGGGGACTATCGCTCTCAGGCAGGCCTGTATTAGCATGCCTGGGGGCCTGATGCACATGTCTGTCACAGGGGCCGGCCAGCTCCAGCTCAGAGCCACAACTCAGGGGCGCTGCTTCAACGTTGTCTCAACACTTTATGAGGTCATTTTCCAGCACTCGGCTTGCTTCATTCAGACTAGGTTTTTACCTTCAAGATGCAGACTATAGAGTTTGGAAAGAGTGTCTGTTTAGTTTGAAGTGTGTATGATACTTGATTCACATAGGTAACAACAAACATAAGCTAATCATCCTAGGTCTTGGTGGTGTGGGTAGCTTAATAAGTATCTGAATATGGTTACATTTAAGTTTAAAACAAATGAGAATACAGCGGAAACTTAATGCAAAGAATTGCTAGTGATGAGAAAGTTCTTAGGAAATGTTGAGTGGAGTAAATACAGGGTTGTTAAGTGACTCTGACCCTGGTGTGTGTATATGGCTCTCTACTGCGGTTCACCACAAGCATATCATATAACAGCTCAGCCAGCACACTCAGCCCTGAGAGAAAGTAAATTCTTGCTTGGCCATTTTCAGCTATGGAAGACATAAACAAACATGTAAAAAAAAAAAAGTAGGTCTGAAAAGTTTGAAAGATTCTGGCTGCTTGGATGCCTAACAGTCAGAGAAGTGGGTGTAGGAGAGTGAGCTTGAAGGGGTGTATCTGTGTCTGTATGGTGCTTACACAGCACAGGGGTGATGTTGGCTGTGTGCAGGACAGATGCTGGGCAAGCGGGGTCACATCAACAGACATGCTCCCGCTACACCGTTCAAACGACAAAAGGAGGAGGAGGAAGAGGAGGCAGAAGTTGGTAGAAGAGGAGTAAAAAAAGCCCCAGTGTTTAGTCAAGGCCTGCTCACTGACACAAAGTCTGTCTTTGTCTGCCTCCCAGGGTGCCAGATAAAGGAATTCTTGTGTGTCGGGGGCTCTGACCGAGTTTATTTGACACTTCAGCTCCTTTTGTGAAGCAAGTGTCCCACCGTCAATGCTGGCCATGAGAGTCACTTGGCATTAGACAGAGGGTCCCTCTTCAGTGGAGAAAGGGGGTCTTGTTTGGAGAAGATTTTTAATGGAGGGGGGTGTGGGGGGTGCTGGGTCGGAGGAGAGGGGGTGCTCGGTCTGTGCTTTGCGCTGTATACAGACATATAGTGGGGCTCTGTCCCCTGCCCCAACAATAGACGGAATTCTTCATTACTAAGGAAGTGGACGTTATTGAGGAGTGAGAGCTGAAGGGGTGCAGGAAGCTCCTTCATCAGATAAGTTGCATGAACACACAAGTACTTGAAATGCAATGCCACATATGTCACAAGTATGCTCAATAAAGATGGAAATGCTTACAAGCTGAACAGGTACAAACACTTCTCTCATATGATCCTGACTTTTTAGGGTGCATTGTCTAGCGTGTTCACATGCACCTGCAGGTTCCACTCAAAGGGAGCATCTACACATCATCCATTATCTTTCTGTGTTTTAAGAATAAACATGCCGTGTGTCAAGTAGCAGCAGCTTGCTCTACTGACAGTCACTTCACATTGAAGGCCCTCTCTGTGGGCAAAGTTCTGGAGACAGATTTACTCTCACCTGAATGGAGTCACTGTGGGAGAGGTGAGTGGACTGCATGTTGCTTTCTATGGTCACTGTATCCACACTGTTCATTTACTTTACTGCACCTGGCCTTTCATAACTTATTATAGGCCGTGGCTCTGTGAATAGTATGCTGTCACCTGGGACTGCAGGTGTATGGCTATGTCTGGTGTAGGACAGGTGAAAAAAGAGCTCAATTTGAAAATAGAGTATTCAAGTCATGGGTCTAAAATACATCAATTTGAGTACTTTTAAGGGTTTATAACGGAGCAGTGCTCTACCAATCAACAGGTGAATCCACATTTGACAGGGCTTTTGTATGAACACACCCCCTCGACAGAAACCGTTCAGACTAACTAAATAAGTGTTGTCCTTCTGGATCTCATCTCAAAGGAGTTTGATTGTTAAGAGTGATTTGGTTGTGAATATGTAGGCCAAATGGGTGTGTGGTGAGATAATGACAGAACCTTTGGTCAAAACAGACACTGTTCAACGTTGTTGTTTCATTTGTGAAATAACAGCGGATAAAATGAAGTTAGACCTAATTTGGTACCCTTTGGAACATCACAGAACAACCTGACCCTTTTTTTACAGCTTATAATAATTCAATGACAACATTAAATATGACAGAAATTAAGTAAACATTTCAGTGCTCAAGGTAGGTAATTATCTTACCTGCTGGAGGAGGAGATGCGTTCTGTCAGTATCCAAACAGCTGGCCATCTGCTGAGCATCGCTCTCAAAATATATTCCAGGATATTCCTTTCGTTGTGCCAAAATCCACCGCAACAAATATCGATTTTCAAATCATATCAAAGAGTTAGCCAACTATGACACTGGCCACACGCGCGAAGTATCCCAAGAGACTCGTCTGTCCGACAAACGGCTGGTCCAGCGGCAGGACTTAGGCAGCAGGAGAAATGTACACCACTCATCCCGTGAAAGAGACATTATTTCCTCATATCCTAAAAGACGATACAACTCCACAACTCCTGCGTTGAATCCATCAGCTGCTGCCATCATAAAGTTTAAAAAATAATAATAACAATAACTCCTCCACGTGTGTCAGTGCTGTAACAGCAGCATTTAATCCTCTTTATGCGCCAAAAGAACCAATGCGTAAAGTGATTGCTGATTTGGTCAATCAAGCTGCTTTGGTAAATCAAGCAGATTGATCGGTGTGATTATTTCCAAAAGGCAGTAAAAGCAGCCAGGTTATCCTTGGTCTCCAGTGCAGTGATGGTCCCTGCTGGAGCTCCAGCTAGCGTCTCTGTAGCCGGTACTTCGATGCGCTCCTGTGAAGAGCCTGAGCCGCACTGAGCCATAGTTGGAGCAGAGCAGCGAAGCACATGCTGCTCTCAGCCAACGTAGGCGCGCAAAGCATGATGGTAAATGGAGTTGATTTTGTATGCTACCTATTTCTTTTAGATCAGGAGTAAGCCATTCGATTAAAATTAAGAAATGCAAAACAAAAGTCAATACAAATAAAATGTAATCATATCAAAACAAGAATAGTGGCAGCAGAGTGTAATTGACAGTACTGTATAATTTGCTTATGTTGGAGGGTGAAACATGTTTGCCTGTGAGGGAAAATGTTCACTTCACACACAGAATTTGAACCCATGTTAAACAACCCTGTTTACTAATAACAAAGTTTTTCTCCTGGAATTTTGACTATACTTTTTGAGGATTTAAATTAAATTAATTGTAATGTTTGCATAATTGCACAATTTATTTTATTACCTGGCTATAATAACCTAAGTAAATGATGATGTGATGAATATAGGCTGGTATAATTGTGTTGTATTGTGCAATCACTCATCTGTCAGTTTGATCCCAGGTTTGCGTGTGAGCCCGTGTGAGCAATGTGAGTGAGTAATACTGATCTTCTGTCGCTGTGCACAGATACAGGGATGTCGGTGCCTTGAATCACCTTCCCATGAATGAATCTCTTGTCTTTCTTACCTCACTTTCATGTCTTAACCACCTCCAGGCTTGCTTGTATTTCTGGGATCATAGCTTCCCTTAAAACTCAAGACAAGTAGTGGATTCCCTGGAATGGACTGTAGCCTCAAAGACTAAAATCAGAAAGAAAGTTATATTAAATTAAAGTTTTACTCTGTGATTGTGTGTTAAAACAAAACATGTTGTGTTATAAGACAATTACATTTTCCTATGAATAAAATATTTTGGAAAAAGTACACTGAGGAAAACATTGTAAACATACTGTAAATGAGTGTGTGAATTATGGAAGTATTTGATAAAGTGTGGCTTAAAATAACCTCTTAAAAAAAAAAGACACAAATAACAGAACAAAAATATGTTAGTAAAGTGGATACACTTTCACAAAAAAAGGGATCCCCATCTTAGGCATATATAATATTTTCTATATACACTAGATTGTATCATCCTATCATTAACTTGTCACTAGGAAATAACATCTTTCTAAATACTGGCGTAAATGTATTGAACGTCAAAGTGGTTTACCTTCCACTATACCACTGTTACTAATCTCCAGTCACATGACGGTGTGTATTACACTTTAGGGCAGGTAAAGCTCCACTCCACCTTTTCCTTTACTCCCCATTTGGCCGTGCTCCAGTACAATCCTGGAGTACCTGAATTGCACGCAATTCTGTCAATTGCAGGTACTTGATGGCTTTCTTGTGTGCTGGGGTTGAAAGTTGCTGGAGGTTTGTGCACACAGCATTGCGTGACTAGAGCTGGGGATGAAAACACAAAGACATTGTTTTCAGTGATCAAACCCCCTTTATAGTAACTCAACAGCATTCCTGTCTCGCATTCCTAAGCCACCGCTGCTGTGTGAAGGATTTTTTTCCTTTTGAGAAAAAGAAAGAAATAGAAGGTTACACATTTTTATCTGGTTCACTGTGTTGACCTCGCTTCTTCCACAAAAGCCATTCTGCACCCTAAGCTCATTAATCATTAATCAAGGCTGAATTAAAGTATTAGCAGAGGCAATTATCTTGCAGAGGTAATTAAGAGGTAATGATCTCTTATCTAAATCGAAGTGATGAATGTAAACAGTGGAGCGGTAATCCTGCTTTCATCTTCAGCAATCACTCCACCTTGAAACTAAACCAAATGAATTGCAAAAGGATTATTTCTCCATGTGTGTACATGCATAATGCACGTGTGTCTGCATGATTGTATGTGTGCAAGTGAATACTTTGTGCATCTTCCTCCTCCATGTTTCTACTCACACTAGTGTGTGTTCTTGGGTATGTGCTAATGTGCACACAAATGTTTTCCAGATTGGTGTGACAAGGATAATCATATCCAGAGAGCACAAAACTATTCTGAACACTGCTCACACAGATGGGCGGAAAAAGAAAGAATGCTTCAGGGAATCCAGGGTGAGCAAGGCTGAGAGAGTGAAGAGAAAATGTAGACATTCTCAAGCAGCAAATTGCACAAATTGCCTAGCATGCACATCAAAAGGCACAACTCTAACATGTGTGATGCAGAAATATATAAATGCATATGTGGCAATATCCTCTGTTCAAAATGTCCATGCAAGCAGTGCAGTCATCACCTGTTGGTTGTGTTAAAACAAATCTAATATTTACTGGAAGCAATGACCTCTACAACTGTTGCTTCAACATACAAAACATAGAGAGGACAATGGAGTCAGTCATATCTCCAGTGTTTGCTCTGAGAGTGATTAAGACTAGAGGACATTCATTACTGGCCCGGCTCAGACAGAGAGGGGCTTCAGAGCAGAGCTCTTGTGTTGGACTGTTTGGATGTCCTATCCCCTTGTATCTCTTTGACTACCTCAAACACAAGGCTCTATTCAACCAGACTGGGAACAAATGTTTCCTTATGTGGCTCTGAGTGCCCAAAACCCAGCGACAGGATAGAGAGCAAGAGCCTATGAGACCAAAAGACAGAAGGTTACAATAATGCAGGATATACTGGCGCTATTTAAGTAATCAGCTCATCTTAATGATCCGCATTATTAGGTGTGTGTATGGGGGGGCTGATGTCATGGAAACCAAAAGCTAGATGAGACATAAGTATTTCCTACTAACAGAATGCCCTTCTGCTGGCATGGCCCCCACCACAGGCTCAGTAGCCTGCCACACTTGATTTCCTCCTTTTTTCCCCCACTGCTCCACTGTTCACACAGGTGTTATTATTTCTACATTTGACTGGAAATTAATATGGTAAATATAACCCAGGAAACCTGAGTTTGGTTTCCAAGCAGCTTATGTTATTTCATGTTCCGCCTGTTGACTTCCTTTGCCAATCCATGGGAACGGGCAAAGTGAAGCTAAACCGGGGTCAATGCAAGGTTTCACAGTGGCATGAGTGAAGATTACTTAAGGGAAAACGGTTTTAAAAAATGGCCTGTGCCTGCTCTATACAATGAGACATAATGAGACATAATGCGACATAATGCGCTGTGTACCCTTTTTCTATAGAATAACCAAGGATAAGGAGCTAATCCTCTTGTGCTATGAGACTGATAGGGTTGGAGTACTTCCAGCACCTCAGGGTGCCAGATCTTTGCAAGGGAGGCTTTCTCAAAGGAGACCATGTAATCAATGACCCCCCCCCCCCCCCCAACCTACTATATTAGTCTTAACATAGTAGATTATAATGTCAAGTTTTGTGGTTAAATTGTGTAGTTTTTTTTGAGCACTTGTCATTTCCCATTATCCCTCGCTGCCTTCAGGCCTTCCCCCTCTTGCCCCGCATTAAGATGTCAAACTGCAAAGGGGTTCTCATGTTTACTCAAACATGTTTTCCCACTTAAGAAGAAATTAAATGAACTTTTGGCCTGGACTGGCAGTGCAGTACCACTGACTCATTCCTCCTTCCTCCCCAACACTCTCTTACATTGAGCAAAGGGGGAATTTCTTTGGACAAGCACACCCTTCCTGGAGCCTTACCATAGTGTGACCATGAGAATGTTTCAGCCTGCAGGTGCCTAGGTTTATTTGTAAAGGAAAATAAAACATAAAAAATAACTAACTTTAAACAGAAATCACCTTCATTTCCTACAGGATAAATACTACATACCACCCTGGCATGCATCTGTCTAACTGCATGCGTGTCATTTTTGAAAGTCTATGTGTTTACAGGACATAAATCTTGGCTCCATTTGACCCGTTTAAACTTGTTTTAAAGTGTAAAGTTATTTGAATTAGTAACATGTAAATGTTAAGGGTTTAAATTAGGGATCTACTGTGAGGAATAAAATTAATATCTGCTCTCTGTATGCTTTTCTAGGGGTGTGTGTGTGTGTGTGTGTGTGTGTGTGTGTGTGTGTGTGTGTGTGTGTGTGTGTGTGTGTGTGTGTGTGTGTGTGTGTGTGTGTGTGTGTGTGTGTGTGTGTGTGTGTGTGTGTGTGTGTGTGTGTGTGTGTGTGTGTGTGTGTGTGTGTGTGCGCGCGTGTGTGATCTCAGTGGCAGGCTGTGTGTAGGCAGCTGGGAGTGTGGCTGGGCTATGCGTGACTAGGAGAAATACACCTGTCTCCAAGCACAGGTACGGAGGGGGAGCCGGCACGCAGAGGCCTGCCAGACGAACAATGCTCCCTATTGTACCTGTGCTCTGACTGCAGACACTCACAGGAGAGGAAGCCCTGAGCCCAGTGTGTGTGTAGCTCTCTCTCCCTCTCTTTCACTCTCTCTCTTCTTGCTCACACACACTCACACGACATACAGAGTCAAATTATTTATAGTACACATATTGTGCTGACCGCAGGCGCCCCGGGCTAAATCCCCAAAACTCTGCCTTTTACACGCAAGCTGCCAATCATAGCTGTGAGTGACAGATTTGACTTCCAATCAAAGAGAAGAAACAAAGTACTGAAAAAGGACACAGAGAGTGTTTGGTTTTAAGCGTTATTGGCCTATGAACACTTTGCATGAATGTCATTATTACAGTATTTTATGAAATGCAGTGTATTATATTTCCTCAGTTAATGGCTGTTAAACAGTCAAAAAGTATAACATTTGTGTTGTTATTGTTCTGGAGAGTATTTAAAAGTTAATAAGGATAGTACTCTTCAGATATTATCAGTTTCACAGAGGTAACTAATGTACTGTAAGGTATATAATAATAAAGAGCTTTACAGTAAATATAAACCCCTGTTGTGGCTATTGTTAAGTAATCTATTATCAGTGTTACACCAGCCTAAGATTTTCCAGGCTTTTTGTTCTCGGTACAGATAAGGCAACCTTGAGATGGAGAGCCAAGATACTGTAGATGTAGAGACAGCGGGAGACAGACAGAGAAAGACACCCCAAGAGAAAGCAAGAGAAAGGTCGCCTGTCTGTAAATCACTGGGGCTCTCTGTGGCTTCCACTACAAAGGCTGAATCTCATTTTGTCTTGATTTGTTGGCTAATTATGAAGAATAATGAAAATGGCAACCGCAGAGAGGGTCGGGGACGAGAGGGAATGCCAAACATCTGCTTTCAGGAGTTTTGGTGCTTGGTTGATCTTGGATAGACACAAGTACCCCTTCTGTCAAACAGGAACTCCAGCTGTTCTACAGATGGGGTCAGTTATTTGGTGTAAAATGTGTGGGCCCAAAAAAGTCAAAGCCTCTTTGATCCATTATCTAGAACTCACACAATTATTTTACACCTCTCTTACAGGGTTACAAGGTGACTGCAGTGAGACCGCATCGTTTAGTGTGTGTTTGTGTAACACCAGCGGTATCATGAATAAGTGTGTGTGAGTGTAGGTGTGTGAGTGTGCGTGCTCACTGACTAACGCAATACAGTCTTCATAAAGGTAGTATTGTTAAGTTGCGTGCGAAGCTCATGCTTTAGGCTTTGGGTCCCCGCCCACCCATGTAAACCACAGCCTTTTTTTCCTCTGCTTTTTTCCCCTTCTACACCTTCCCCTTTCTTTTTGTTACAGGTAAACATTTGATGTCCGCACGCAATCC